AAATAAGAAAATAACAACATAAAAATAAAAAGTAAAAAAATAATAAAATAAAAACAGTGATAAGTAAAAAAATAATAACATAAATAAAAATAAAAAGTTAAACAAAATTAAATTAAAAATGAAAACGGTGATAAGTAAGAAAATAATAACATAAATAAAAAGTTACAAAAATAAACAAATAAAAAATAAAAACGGTGATAAGTAAGAAAATAATAAAATAAAAAAAAGTGATCACAAATAATGAAATATAAAAAAAATAGTGTGATAAATAGAATAGTAAAATAAAATGAAAAAAAATGATAAAAAAATATTTACAAATATTTAATAAAATGGGTAAAACTGTAAAAAAATAATAAAATATAAAAGGTGATAAAAAAAAAAGTAAATGGACACGGACTAAATACAAATTTGACTGATCAGACCTCCTCATATTTTAATTCACTACCCCTGATATAGAGGATAATGTAGATCAATATATTAATAATCTGCCAGGATTGATGTTTTTGTGCTTTGATATGCGGTCAGGGCAGGCGAAGGGGCAGATATTCACCACTGCAGAACATCAGTCTTTGTTATTAACAAGCTCTCTGTATCATTTATAACATTATCAGGGCTATTCACAAAGGGGTGAGGAGTTTGGAGAAGGCCGGAGAAGAGAACAATCGAGGAGAACACCTCTGAACCGGAAAGTGAGCTGAATCTGAGAATATTTCCAGATCAGCGATGTTGTCCTAGATTGTTCACTTCTCCGGCCTCCTCCAAACTCGTCACCGTTTAGTGAATAGCCCTGTATATTCATTTTCACCCCAGCACTGATTTCTGCCGCTGGTCCTCTGACTGATGGGCTGGGACTGAGCCCAGAAGTCTTTGTTATACAATGGGTTGGAATTTATCCAAACTGGAGCAGTTGCCAACGGCAACCAATCAGCATCTCTCTTCAGTTTGCTCAGGTAAGATTTGAAAATGAGACAGAGATGCTGATTGGTTGCAGTGCAAATCTGCTCCAGTTTTGATATGTTAATGTATTTAACGTTTGTATCTTTATCTTCTCATTATAAAGTATTCTGTTCCCCTGATTCCTGGTATCCATCAATGGAAATCGCCGGCTGAGTCAACTTTACCAGAGTGACATTGTTTGCCGGCACGAGATGTCCCTCCGCTGAATACGATTAATCTTTAAACCTTTCTAATCTTTAACCCGGAGGTCAGCTGTGTGTGTGTGTGTGTGTGTGTGTGTGTATGTACAATATATGTGTTGTGTGTGTGTGTGTGCTCTGTCCTCAGACACTGGACCACGGGAGGGATGAAGGAAACAATAATATCACACACAGAATAGCTACACACAAAGCATTTTGTGATTTAACCCCTTCATGACTGAGGCCTTTTTTTCACCCATGTTATATTCCACATTTTAGGCTTGAAATTGCTGCTACTGTAAAGCCGAAAGTTGGCTTTACAAGTTTAAACAGAGTCCCAGCGTCTGTCTGAACAACCCCGATTCTAGCGACGTAGACTGTATGTCGTTGGTCGTGAAGGGGTTAATGTTATAAAAAAAATGACCTTTCCATTTAATTCTGAAGCTAATATAAATATAATATGGCGTCCCGGAGGCGTTCTGCACGGGACGCACCCAGAAATGTCTTCCTGCTTTTTTTAGAAGTCTGCACTAAGACGTAGCTGAAAATGTAGGCATGACCAGCAATAGGAATTGAATTTTTGGTGAGATACTTCCTAAGGGCTAACTACTTCTGAAACTGCGACCTTCCATACAGCACTGAAAGTACATCAAGTGGGTATAGTGAGCCGGACCCACTCATTCAGGAACCAGACCCCCCCCATTCAGGAATCAGACTCCTCACATTCAAGAACCAGATCCTCGGTTTCATGAATTAGACCCCTCCCATTCTGGATTTAGTTCTTTTTTTTTCCGATCAGTAATCAGACCCTCTAATCAGGAATCAGACCCCTCAAATTTAGGAATCAGATCCTCCCATTTATGAATTAGACCCTCCCATTCTGGAATCAGATCTTTCTGATCAGGAATCAGACCTTCCCATTCAGGAATCAGCCCTCTCCCATTTATTAAAAAGAGCCTTCCCATTCAGGAATCAGACCCCTCCCATTCAGGAATCAGACCCCTCCCTTTCAGGAATCAGACCCCTCCCATTCAGGAATCAGACCCTCCCATGCAGGAATCAGATTCTTCCATGCAGGAATCAGGCTCTCCCATTCAATAATCAGACCCCTCCCATTTAGGATTTAGTTCCCTCCTATTCAAGAATCATATCCTACCATTCAGGAATCAAACTCCTCCTCACATAGGAATCGGTTCCTCCTATCTAATAATCAGATCCTCCCATTCAGGAATCAGACCCTCTTATTAAATAATCAGACCCTCCCATTCAGGAATCAGACCCTCCCATTCAAGAATCAGACCCTCCCATTCAGGAATCAGACCCTCCCATTCAGGAATCAGACCCTCCCATCCAGGAATCAGACCCTCCCATCCAGGAATCAGATCCTCCCATTCAGGAATCAGACCCTCCCATTCAGGAATCACACCTTCCCATTCAGGAATCACACCCTCCCATTCAGGAATCACACCCTCCCATTCAGGAATCAGATCCTCCCATTCAGGAATCAAACCCTCCCATTCAGGAATCAGACCCTCCCATTCAGGAATCAGATCCTACCATTCAGGAATCAAACCCCTCCCATTTAGGAATCGGATCCTCCTATTTAATAATCCAACCCTCCTATTCAGTAATAGGACTCCTCCCATTCAGGAATCAGATCCTCTTATTCAATAATCAGACCCTCCCATTCAGGAATCAGACCCTCCCATCCAGGAATCAGCCTGGAAACGACATCACAACGAAGACAACAAACAGCTTTTCTTCAGAACAGAAAATGTCAGAATCTGCAACAAAGTTTTAAAAAAATCCTTGCAATGTACACTGATTACCCAGAGGGGTTGTTTTTTCACAAAAGTGGACTGACACTTTAAAGGTGTGTTGGGATGGCGGGTCGAAGTGCATATGGTGAGCTCCTAGTTTGCCGTGCTCATGGGACATCCAAATACAATTGCCTTTGTGCCTTCTGCACCTATGAGGTGCTCTGTATGTTCCGGTATTTATCATTGGGATCTCTCCTCTAAGTACTAGCATATGGGAGCTCATACACTGCCTAGCTCTTGGACTTCTGTGTATACAAATATCCGCTGCACAAAACCACTAGCCACCAGCACACATCTCTGAGACATAGTAAAGTCCATGAGATAGGATCTTCTTGTTCGTACACGCAGAACCTTCAGAAAATCAACCCCAGTATGTTCAGCAGGTCGGAGTTCCTGATCTGCATGTGAATTCCATGATCTACAATATGTTCACTCCATGACCAAAAATATGAGGAACAGCCTTGTGCCTTCTGTGTCGTTCCACCTTTCCTACTACAAATACAAATGAAACATTTGAGCTCTATGACACAGAATCAGAGGGAGGTGCGTACCTGCCTGAACGCCTAGAGGACCTCGATGAGGTGGGTTCATGAGGAGAAGCTGGAGGACATGATTTCTTGGTGGTATTCTCCATAACTGTGGCTAAAATTAAAAAAAGAAACATTAACTTCAGATTTTGTAACTGATACGTGTTTGTTTGATGCCAATTCAATAGGCGATATGGGCAAAAATATAAGGAGCGCTTTTTATGCCCGTCATGCCTGATACACTATATGGCCAAAGGTTTTGTGGACACCTGACCATCATACTTACCTATATGGCCAAAAGCTTGGTTCTACAAAGACATTGTAGACAATTGTGCTTAAGACAATGAGCAGGTATGGGCCCTCCTGGGGGGGGTGGGGGTCAATATATTTACACTCTGTAGACGTGTAGACACGTATCGCTATGAGAAAGTATCTTCACGTGTGATGTATAAATGTCTCCCCATCCCACCCTCCTCATCACTATGATCCAGTATTGGACGCATCAGAGGAAGTTCCAGGTGGGGCTTCCAGAAGTTTGTCCTGGAATAATAAAGTTTTACAAGGGTTGGTTGTTCTGGTGTTCTACTGGAACGTGATGGCCATCAGACCTATGGACATGAAATCCAGCACACACCATACAATCTCCATTACCACTCATTAGCCTACATTGTAGAAAATTGTCTTCCAGCCTTGTGGTAACCATTTGGTGAAGACCCTTTTCTGTCCCACCATGACTGTCCCCTGTGTATAAAGCCAGCTCCATAAAGACATGGTGTGACCAGGTTGGTGTGGAGGAACTTGAGTGTCCTGCACAGAACCCTGACCTCAACCCTACTGAACACCAGTAGAATTAATTGGAACCCCTCCACATGATGGAGTTCTGGTGTTTCCAGTGAGGGTCCTGTTAATACTCCATCATACAAAGACATTGTAGACAATTGTGATCTTCCAGCCTTGTGGTCACAGTTTGGTGAAGACCCTTTTCTGTTCCAACATGACTGTCCACTGTGTACAAAGCCCGCTCCATAAAGACATGGTATGACCAGTTTGGTGTGGAGGAACTCAAGTGTCCTGCACAGAGCCCTGACCTCAACTTCTAGGATTAATTTGAATGCCAATGATGAGCCAGTTTTTTTTTGGCACCCAACATGGGGCCAATGTGTGAAGTCTTCTTATCCAACATCAATACCTGACCTCACAAATGGCCATAAATTCCCACAGACACCCTCCCAAATCTAGTGGAAAGCCTTCTCAGAAGAGTGGAGGATGATAAAGACGAAAAGGGGGCAACTCCATATTTATAGCCATGGGGGGAGGGGGGCTTCATAATACTGGCCTTGGGTATGAAATGGGATGTCCAACAAGCTTATAGAGGTGTGATGGTCAGGGGTGCACACAGACTTAGCCACATAGTGTAGCTTTGTAATACTGTATATATCCTCCTTGCCTTTCTCCAATTCTCTATTGATCATGCTGGGGCTCCTGTCGGGGTTCACTTTTGGATATTGGGTCACTCTCACTTTGCCTCTCAAGGACCCCGTTTCCTCTCCACGTTGTGACAGAGACACTTGAAACTGATGATCAGTAGTGCTGTTGGTGGTTGGAAGCACCGACACACAACATTCACCTGGAAACATAAGAAAATCAATGAAAGGACAAATACAATTATGTCTGTTTAAAATATTTTTCATCTTCATACCATACATCTGTATTGGCCAAAGATTATTTTTTTTGCCATAAGCCAAATCAAAATGCTTTACCAAAAGATTCTCCTCCATCCGTTGGTCGGATAGTAAGAAGCAAGTGTCCAGTAAATGTGTCTCCTGCAACCAATGTTATCTGCGGAGAATATAGAGATTGCGTAAAATACAACATGTGTCTTCAGGTAGATATATTAGGCCAAAACTATACCTGACTATAGACTATACCTGACCATAGACTATACCTGACCACAGACCATACCCTGACCATAGACTATACCTGACCATCGACTATACTGACCATAGACTATACCTGACCACAGACCATACCTGACCACAGACCATACCTGACCATACACTATACCTGACCATAGACTATACCTGACCATAAACTATACCTGACCATAGACTATACCTGACCATAGGCTATACCTGACCATAGACCATACCTGACCATAGACCATTACTTGACCATAGACAATACCTGACCATAGACTATACGTGACCATAGAGCATAGACTATATCTGACCATAGGCCAAAACTATACCTGATCATAGACCATACCTGACCATAGACAATAGGGCCAAAATTATACCTGACCATAGACCATACCTAACCATAGACCATACCTGACCATAGACTATACCTGACCATAGACTATACCTGACCAAAGACAATAGGGTAAAAACTATAGCTGACCATCAAACCTACACTATATGGCCAAAAGTTCATACACCCCCCCTCCAAATGGCATTCAGGTGTATCCAGTGAAAAGTACTGTTAATAAGAGTGGTGAATGGTATAGCCACATAGGGGGAGGAACTCCATATTATTAGTCAATGAGGGCAACTCGAAATTAAAACCCATGGTTTGGGAACGGGATGTCCACCAAGCCCATACAGGTGTGATGGTCAGGTGTCCACAAACCTTTGGCCATGGAGTGTATCATCTACAGTCTTGATTTCTCACCTCTGGTAAGTCTTGCTCTGACCAGCCCAGCTTGAGAAAGGCAGATCCCTCTGTACTGTGTGCACTGTTCACATTACTTTGTGGACACTCTGGACAGAAAGAGGGAAAAGGCAACAAGTGAGCAAGCTGTGATACAGTAATACAGGCATTCAGCAATTCATAAGATATGAGGGGAGCATATTGTTACCTATCATTTGCTTCCCCAACATTGTATTTGGCACCAGAATCCATAAGAAATATCCAGTACCTCTGGGTAGGGAGGAGCAGGTGACTTGCTCCATGTGACAGGGCTGGGCCAATTAGAAAATACATTTTTTACCTTTATATACACTTTATAAAGCCCAATAGGAAGAGAGCCCATCAGAGGAAAGACATCTGAAGAGAACCCATCAGAGGACAGCCCATCTGAAGAGAGTCCATCTGAGGAGAACCCATTGGAGGAGAGCCCATCTGAGGAGAACCCATCTGAGGAGAGCCCATCTGAGGAGAGACCATCTGAGGAGAACCCATTGGAGGATAGCCCATCTGAAGAGAACCCATCTGAAGAGAGCCCATCTGAAAAGAGTCCATCTGAAGAGAGCCCATTTGAGGAGAGACCATCTGAGGAGAACCCATTGGAGGAGAGCCCATCTGAAGAGAACCCATCTGAAGAGAGCTGATCTGAGGAGGGCCCATCTGAGGAGAACCCATTGGAGTAGAGACCATCTGAAGAGAACCCATCTGAGGAGAGCCCATCTGAAGAGAGCCCATCTGAGGAGAGCCCATCTGAGGAGAGCCCACTGGAGGAGAGCCCATTGGAGGAGAGCCCTTGATAGGGGAGCCTTGCTTCATGTGAGCAGCTTTGTTGAATGCTTAAACTTTCATTGTCCTTTTGAACAAACAAGTGTTGATGCCCCAGAGCCTCCCGGATATGTCTTTCCAGAGTAAAACAATCAGCATTTCCATGGATGGAACCAACAAACATCCGTGGAAATTTTGTCCTCAACTCAATTTAAGACAATGGATCCTTCTCCTCCTTCACAAGGTAATTAGACCACTGTCCTCAGCAGGAGCAGAACTTTCTTACCTTTTAAGCACAAAGATCTGAACTCTATACACGCTCTCGATCGGCTCGGGGTTTTAACAATGGACTCGATGTGTAGAAATTTGAGTGTATAACTGCAATCTGGGAACACATCCAGCAAACCGGAATCAGAATAAAAAACAAGAGGAGAACAATGAACACAGAAGAGTAATAACTCACTCTGTGCCTCACCTCTCCGGGATGCAAAATTCAGACCAATCTCAAACGTGGCAAAAACTGGGGCGTGATCACTGCTCACAATATCATCAACACAACCTAGGAAGAGAAAGAGATAACATTCGGCCAAACTCATAGATACCAATGGTCCTGTATCTCAGAAGACCTCTGTTTCATTGGTGTTGTGTCCAGGGCTGTGTCCTGGGATCACATCATCACCCTTTTATTTCAGGTACTGACATCACATGGCTGGGGGAGGTGACTATATCTCAACTTTAAAGTGCACGTCCAGCCCAAACTTATTTTTTAGCTTTGGATAGAGTAACAAACTCCTATGTTTTTTACAGCTATCCATGGTATTGTTAGAGAGATCTCCCTTCACTTCCTGTCCTGCTGGCAACCGTTTCACCAGACAGGACGTGAGAATACATTTTTGCTGCATGAATCCCTGTTTGAGATTTATACTCACTTCCTGTCTGGTAAAAATTGTTGTCAGCAGGACAGGAAGTGAGGGGAAATCTCTCTAATGGCATCATGGACAGCAGTAAAAACTCAACTGGGGGTCTGGTTCTTCTCCCACTCCATGCTAAATGTATAAATAAAAGAAGGTTCTGATTTGACTTACACTAAGCTGAGGATGACCATACAACAGATCGGAGCTTTGCTTGTGAGAATGAGGAAACATCTGGACCATATAAGGGTCAACTAGGACGGCGATAATGAGTACTTCTGAATGCCCGAATAATAATTGCTCATTGTCCAAGATATATCGAGAAAGTTCTGTGCTAACCAAAGAGAAGGGAATGTAGAGCTTGCCACAGACACTCGTGAGATTTGTCAGGTAGAAGATCAAGGTAAGTCTTAGAGTCCTATTGTTACCATTGAGGACCAATCTCTCAATGAGACAGCCAATGGTAAGCTGTTGAAATGGGAGAATTATTCATAAGACGTGCTCTTATTGAACCTAATCTTATGATACCCGACCCTTGACCTGGGCTGTAAAATGAATGGAAAACCCAACCACATACTGACCACCCCAAGGCATGTGTTGTAACACGGCCGTTCTTACTATTCTGCATGTGAACTGGAAGTAATTTAAGAGTCGTGTGTGGGTCATTCAGGTTGGTTCTCACCATATGAGGTGCATTTAACGTCAGTGTCCGGGTAACATGCCCATAGTATACGATCACTCCAAGTAGGTCCAACTATACGAGTCTAAGATAAAACACAAAAATAAAGGAGCTCTTTAAAGAGGAAGGAGGTCACCATCAGATTTACATTTAATTGTGAAAAAAATACGCAAGTTGTAGTTTGTAATGCAATGAGTATCTAGAAAACACATCATATGTACAAAGGTTTGTGGACAATCACATGGCCATGATGGGCAGCCGAATCTAAGACTAGGCCATTAGTATACAGTTGCCCACCCAATAGCTATTAGTATGGAGTTGCTCCCCATGGCTATTAATATGGAGATGCCCCGCATGGCCATTAATATGGAGTTGCCCCCCATGGCCATTAATATGGAGTTGTCCTTCCCACCATGGCTATTAATATGGAGCTGCCCCCCTTTGTGGCTCTACCATCCTCCACTCTTCTGGGAAGGCTTCCCCCAAGGTTTTGGGAATTTGTGTCCATTTGTGAGGAACTGATGTTGGGTGAGAAGACCTGATGTTGGGTGAGAAGTTGGGTGAGAAGACCTGGCTCATATTCAACGTTCTAATTCATCCCAAAGGTGTTCAATAGGGTTGAGGTCAGGGCTCTGTTCAGGCCAGACTCTACTAAGGTCAGGTACTGATCTTGGATAAAAAGAGTTCCCACATTGGCCCCATGTTGGGCGCCGGAAAAAAACCTGGCTCATAATCAGCATTTAAATTAATCCCAGAGATTGAGGTCAGCGCTCTGTGCATTGCACTTGAGTTCCTTCACACCAAGCTGGTCACACCATCTCTTTATGGAGCTGGCTTTGTACACAGTGGACAGGCATGTTCAGTAAGGTTGAGGTCAGGGCTCTGTTCAGGACAGACTGTACTAAGGTCAGGCACTGATGATGGATGAGAAGACATGGCTCATATTCAACGTTTCAATTCATCCTATAGCTGTTCAATAGGGATGAGGTCATGGCTCTGTGCAGGACAGACTGTGCTAAGGTCAGGTACTGATGTTGGATAAAAAGACTACCCACATTGTCCCCATGTTGGACGCCAAAAAAAAAACCTGGCTCATAATCGCCATTTAAATGAATCCCAGAGGTTGAGGTCAGGGCTCTGTAGAGGACAGTCGAGTTCATCCACACCAAACTGGTCACACCATGTCTTTATGGAGCTGGCTTTGTACACAGGGGACAGTCATGGTGGAACAGAAAAGGGTCTTCACCCAACTGTGACCACAGTGCTGGAAGAGCCCAATTGTCTACAACGTCTTTGTATGATGTAGAAATAACAGACCCTTCACTGGATGCACCTGAACCCCATCATTTGGAAGGGGGGTCCACAAACTTTGGTCAGGTGTCCACAAAACCTTTGGCCATAAAATGTATCGCAATACAGACATGAAGATCGCTAACTAAGCAGAAGATTAACAGATCTCACTCCACTTGTCTTGGCCTTCTGCAGATCATATGTTCGAGAACCTCGCTCGTAGCGGCTGGTGGGAGGAAAGGTGATTGGTTCCTCTCCTGTAAGCAAGAGATCCACATCTGAGATCTTAATTTGTACACTTATACAACATAACATTCACTGTATGTCAAATATGTCATCCCTCCACCAACACTGACAAGGAGCTCATGTATCAAAGTGGAGAACAGGAATAACTGCAATCATGAAGTGATGAAGAAGATGAATCAGTGAGGCGGTTCTGAGAAAACAATTATATGTAATGAAAAGCTGATAGCCAACACGGTCTTCATTTTGGAAAGAGGAACGAATAGTCAAAGTAGAACTGAAGCCAAATGTTTTAGATTTGGATAGTATAAGAGAGGGTTATAACCCCTGCGTGATTTTTTTCACTTCCTGTCTGATAGTCACAATGGGAAGTGAGAGGAAATCCTTCCAAAGTAAGGGAAATCCCTTTTGGTCAGCAGAACTAAAGTCCCAAAGGAAGATCTCCCATCTATTCCTGTCATGGTGACAACCCAAAATTTGGGATTGTCTTCAGTGAGGACTGTCACAAATAGAGAGCATAAAACTCCCCAACGGGGACACAGACAGCAAGAAAAAAACCGATGGGTATTCTCATCCCTCTCCACTCTATGCAGAAAAAAAAAAGACTTCAGTTACACGTTAACCACCATCCACCATCAACCAACCACCATCAGGTTTTTGTTTTGCCATTCTAGCGATTTCACTCGATTTCCTGTCCTGTAGACACAACAGAAAGTGAGAGGAAATCTCCTCTTAGACAGCTGTCACCAGAAAAAGTGTCCCCATTAGAACATATTGTTGTTTTGGTGACCCCTCAAAAATGTTGAATTTTCCCATCACTTTCCAAGGGGTACCTCCCCAGCCAACAAAGGTTCCCCAGCCTGGAAGAGGTTCTATGTCCTCATCATCAGATACATATAAACATTGTTGGCATTAGACACACGTGTAGCAAAGTAACATGGTAACTGGGATCCATTGTGTATCCATTGAGTTATTTCATGTTCTGGGATCTATAAGGACCCCCACAAACCCTAACACACCCCTGTGTGTATCAGATATAAAGCCAATGGATAATTCCATGTATGTATTGCGAAATGCCGCCATAGTGAAAGATCATACGGTTCCTTACTGAAGCCTAGGAAGACTTTCTTCTTCTCGCGTTCCTGGTTCAGCTGATCTACAGGAAGGAGACGTTGGTGTACACTATATTGCCAAAAGTATTGGGACGCCTTTACACGCATGTGAACTTTAATGACATCCCAGTCTTAGTCCGTAGGGTTCAATAGTGAGTTGGCGCGCCGCTTTGCAACTATAACAGCTTCAAGTCTTCTGGGAAGGCATCCACAAGGTTTAGGAGTGTGTCTATGGGAATGTTGGACCATTTGTGAGGTCAGGTACTGATGTTGGAGGTCAGGGCTCTGTGCAGGCCAGTCAAGTTCCTCCACCCCAAACTCGCTCATCCATGTCTTTATGGACCTTGCTTTGTGCACTTGTGTGCAGTCATGTTGTCTCAGGAAGGGGCCATCCCCAAACTGTTCCCACAAAGTTGGGAGCATGAAATTGTCCAAAATGTCTTGGTATGCTGATGCCTTAAGAGTTCCCTTCACTGGAACTAAGGGGCCAAGCCCAACCCCTGAAAAACAACCCCACACCATAATCCCCCCTCCACCAAACTTTACACTTGGCACAATGCAGTCAGGCAAGTACCGTTCTCCTGGCAACCGCCAAACCCAGACACGTCCATCGGATTGCCAGACAGAGAAGCGTGATTGGTCACTCCAGAGAACACGTCTCCACTTCTCTAGAGTCCAGTGGCGGCGTGCTTTACACCACGGCATCCCACGCTTTGCATTGCACTTGGTGATGTAAGGCTTGGATGCAGCTGCTCGGCCATGGAAACCCATTCCATGAAGCTCTCTACACACTGTTCTTGTGCCAATCTGAAGGCCACATGGAGTTTGGAGTTCTGTAGCTATTGACTCTGCAGACAGTTGGCGACTTCTGCGCACTGTGCGCTTCAGCATGCGCTGACCCCGCTCTGTCATTTTACGTGGCCTACCACATCGTGGCTAAGTTGCTGTTGTTCCCAGTTGCTTCCACTTTGTTATAATACCAGTAACAGGTGACCGCGGAATATTTAGTAGCAAGGACATTTCACGGAACACCTGAATCCAATGATTTGGAGGGGCGTCCCAATACTTTTGGTAATATAGTGTATATTGCAGAGATATAATAGGAGTTGTATAAGCTTTAATATAATAAGCTTTCCTGAGATTGGGATGGTGGGGGTCTCATTGATAGACTTTGTTCAGTGCCATAGAGAGATGCATATGCCTTCAAGCTTACATTATATATCAGGGGTGGGCAACCTCTGCAACTACAAGTCCCATGAGGCATTGCAAGACTGGTAGCCACAGGCATGGCTCCCAGGGGCAAAGGCATGGCGGGATTTATAGCTTCACCACAACTGGAGTGTCGAGGTTGCCTATCATGCTGGATAATATATTGCAGGGGTAGGCAACCTTGGCACTCCTACCATGGTATAAGTACAATCCCGCCCGCCTCTGGAAGTCATGCCTGTGCCTGCCAGAGTCTTGCAATGCATCATGGGACTTGTAGGTCCACAACAGCTGGAGGGCCACCCCTGGTATACTCCAATGGTCAATGAAAGGAAGCTCCTATATCATCACTTTCATGGACTTTATTGGCTCCTGGGCATTGTCTGCCCGATCAGTTAACACGCAGTACTGGGAAAGTCTATGAGAGGTGGTTGGCTTGTACCTGCACGGGCATATCGAGCTTATAGTTCAAGTCTCCGGCCCAAAACAGATAGGTGAGTCTCAGAGGCAGCTGGAAGCCCCGTAAAGCCTCGTCTCCCAGGACCAAACCTCGCAGGATCTCCCCGTAACTCTGATTCCTCCTATAAAGAGATACGTGGTAAGTACAATGACATACAATACTACATTGTAAAAATAATATAATATAATGTAAAATAATATGATATTTGCACCATTTTATATCTGTCTGGAGTTCAGATTAAAGACAAACATTGTGCAATAAACTGAAACACTGAAACTTCTGAGTCTACTCACTTTTGCACTTTCTCCGTTCCAGATACGAGGTGACAAGTGACAAAACCTAAGGATGTCCCATCAAACTCAAGTGAAACCCCAACAGCTCCTCGGACACCTACAAAGAATTGTACCCGCCATGTATCATTATTATTCATCATTATAGTTTTAGTATCTTGAGCTTCTAGAGGAAGGAACTTCATACCGAGCGTGTTACTGATTCCCGTCCTCACAGACGAGCTCTGCACATGAGACACCAGATCTTCATATTCTTCTTTCACCAATGACATGAGTTTGATTCCCCCAAAAGAATGTGAGGAGACCTGGGGAGAGAAAGAGCGAGCGGGCCGCATGGTCCTGTTACCAGCTATTAATTGACTTCCCTTGTCCAAAGACTGGACCCTTCTAGATATTCTTATATGTGTTAATATTTGTAAACATTGAGAACATTTGGAATTATTGAGGAGCAAAATTAAGCTTTGGCAAAAATCGGAATATTTTGGTAAAATTCACCATTCCTGGGAAGAGCATTGGAGTCAATGGGGAAGGTGAAATTAAGGTGGTTTGTAGGGGTTCAAGGGCTCTGAATGGCACCTAGGGTATGGACGGGCTCTATAATTTACAAGGCCCCAATAATTCCTGAACGCCTTAAGTTGTCCTCAGTCTCCCAGGTTGGATAATGGTCAGTGTCACTCAACCCACCTCCCCTGAACCAAGGCTGTCATAGACCATAGTGTCACTCAACCCTCCTCCCATGAACCAATGCTGTCATAGACCATAGTGTCACTCAACCCTCCTCCCATGAACCAAGGCTGTCATAGACCATAGTGTCACTCAACCCTCCTCCCATGAACCAAGGCTGTCATAGACCATAGTGTCACTCAACCCTCCTCCCATGAACCAAGGCTGTCATAGACCATCTGGCTTGTTGGTAAATACACATCTTTTATTTATACAGGAAGTGCAGCAAGTCAAATAGAGCCCACCTCATTTACTGGCTGGAGGGTGTCTGGTATCATAAAGCCCTCCCCAGCCTGACTGTTCTTGTCCCACCCCTAAGGAGCCCATTGGAACCCTATAACCCCAAAACATCTTGATTTCACCTTTCCTATTGACTCCAATGCATTTTGCCAAATGGAGAAACTTGCTCGGAATGTCCCCACGAAACGTACAAATGACCTCTGGTGATAATTTGATCCTTTACCACTTTATAATTCTTCGACGTGTGCGATGCCAGCGCCGCCCTGAGATATTCTGCCCATTCCCGATCTCCTTGTGGGTTTTCCTGAGTTCCAATCATATACAGGTCAGGGTGGTCACATGATGCACCGTCATCTAGACTCCCCTTCAGCTTTTTGGCAGACAACCAGGAGACAAGGGAGCGAGGCGGGGGGGCGCCACCTGGCAAAGATTTCCGTTATTGGTTTTCAAAGAAAAAAATAAACCAGGTGACAAACATTATATAAATACATGTAACATTCTACAAATACAAAGCACACTAATACAATGCTGGACTGGGCGATGAGGAGACCAACACACTACAAATTCTCCTTGTAAAGGGCTAACGCCAAAGAAAGGCTGGAAGATTCATTGGCTCCTGTATGTATGAGAGATAGGGACCTTAGATTGTAAGTTCCTCGGGGGCGGGGACAGACCTGAATGTGCACTGTGTAAAGTGCTGCTTAAAATTGTTAGTGCTCAGTGGCGTAACAATCACCATAGCGACGCAGGCGGCCGCTATGGGGCCCGATATATAAATACCTGTAATAAATAAATAAATCTCATTTCCATGTAGGAACAAGAAGGGGTAGGAGTGCTCTCCCTTTGTAAAAGCTGAACTCAAGGAATATTGTATATAAAAGACACAAATTAATGTATTCATTTAATGCCGCCATTCTCAACCAGAGTTCCATAGAACCTTAGGGTTCCTCTAAAGGTTTCTTGGTGTTCCTTGAGCAAGAATCAATTTCTGCCCCCTCGTATAAGGAACCACTGGCAGATATTTTGAGTTATCTTTAAGGGGGGGTTTGCACTCACCAATATTGTACGGAGAAATTTTCCTACTGATCACCAGTGTAAGAGGGCTCTCCTCCCATTGACCTCAAGTGTAAGGGGTCCTTATCCCATTGTCACCAGTGTAAGAGGGCTCTTCACGCATTGTACCACCAGTGTAAGGGGTACTCTCCTCCCACTGACCTCAAGTATAAGGGGTCCTCTCCCAATGATCACCAGTGTAAGAGGGCTCTTCTCTCATTGACCTCAAGTGTAAGGAGGTCCTTCTCCCATTGATCACCATTGTAAGAGGACCCTTCTCCCATTGACCTCAAGTGTAAGGAGGCCCTTCTCCCATTGATCACGAGTGTAAGAGGGCTCCTCTCCCATTGACCTCAAGTCTAAGGAGGTCCTTCTCCCATTGATCCCCAGTGTAAGGGGGTCTTTTCTCTTATTGACCACCAGCACAAGGAGGCTCTTCTTCCATTGATGGCCAGTGTAAGGAGGTCCTTCTCCCAATTTTTGTTTATTAAAAGACTAGCATTCAATAAACATAAAATCCATATACAGAATAGACATAAATAAATAATGATATACATATATACACAAAAGTAAATATAGCAAAATCTTCTGTAAAAGCAAATGATGACTCTAGAGCAAAACCAAACCTCATACACAGAGATACATCACTGAGGGCAAGATAAATCCTACTCACAATCACACCACTACACCAGACATCCAACCTGCGAGGTTAAGAAACAAACCCGCCCCTGTTATGCACGCAGCCCTTTTCAAAAAGATCTAAAACAACAAAATCTAAGGAAGTGAAAAAAGAAGAGCATAAGAGAAGAGCACCTCACCCAGAGATGGACAGTTCAGGAGGTCCTTCTCCCATTAATGTAAGGATGCCCTGCTCCTACTGACCACCAGTGTAAGAAAGGCCCTCTCCCATTGACCACCAGTGGAAGGGGGCCCTTCTTCCATTGAACACCAATGTATGAGGGCTCATCTCCCATTGATCACCAGTGTAAGGAGAGCCTTCTCCCATTGACCATTAGTTTAAGGAGGCCCTTCTCTCATTGACCATTAATTTAAGGAGGCCCTTCTCCCATTGACTATTAGTTGAAGGAGGCCCTTCTCCTACTGACCATTAGAGTAAGGGGGCCCTTCTTCCATTGACCACCAGTGTATGGGGGCTCTTTTCCCACTGACCACCAGTGTAAGGAGAGCCTTCTCCCATTGACCTCTAGCATAAGGAGGGCCTTCCCCATTGACCATTAGTTTAAGGAGGCCCTTTTACCATTGACTATTAGTTTAAGGAGGTCCTTGTCCTCCTGCCCATCAGAGTAAGGGGATCCTTCTTCGATTGACCACCAGTGTATGGGGTCTCTTCTCCCATTGACCACCAGTGTAAGGACATTCTTCTCCCATTGAACACTAGCATAAGGAGGGCCTTCCCACATTACCATTAATTTAATGAGGCCCTTCTCCCATTGACTATTATTTTAAGGAGGCCCTTCTCCTACTGACCATCAGAGTAAGGGGGCCCTTCCTTCATTGAACACCAGCATTGACCAACAGTGTAAGGAGATCCTTCTCCCATTGACTACTAGCATAAGGAGGGCCTTCACAGATTGACCATTCATTTAAGGAGGCCCTCCTCCTATTGAATATTAGTTGAAGGAGGCCCTTATTATTGATAAGATCTCCGCTTGTGTAGGTGACTCAAGTCCATCAGTGATTCTGTCGTTGGTGTCTCACCCATATTCCAAGTGCCAATGAAGACAGAAAGATTTTGTGGGGCGCTTCTCCTGGGAACGTTGTTCTCCCCCGGCTTCACCTGAAAGACATTGAGCGTTAGTCCCCTGTGGGGTGGAAATCTGTAACAGGAAGAGGACTCTGTACTCCCCTACTAGGGTCCCCAATGAACTCTCTACCTGCCCACCTCTCCTGTGCATAGCAGCCCCCATTCATAAAGATCAGTTAAGACTCAATCATGTCAGTGCAACATCCAAGTGTCGATGCAGGAACAAAGGGTAAAGACCCAAATGAAGGGGAGCCTCCGAAACGCGTTGGCATACAATCTGTCTTTGGTAAAATTTGTATCATGGAGTGGCTCTTCAATCCTAGATTGACTCCTCCTACAAAGGTAAGTTAAAAAAAAACGGTGGGCTGCACTCTGGGGGGAGGGGGGGTTGCTGAATTCGTTGAAGGCCAACCTTACAGAGGTTCTGACCCCTCCATACTAAACAAGGTTAGAGGTTTTGCCTGGAGTTGTCAAGGAGCTTATCAGGAGGTCCCAACACCAGCCAAGCACCCTCAAGCCTCATAGTGTACAGAGCTGAAGGGTTTGGTACACTTGGGCTGGTTGATGGATGGCCGGGCAATGGCCACCTACTTGCACAGGAGGATCGACCTCAGGTGGGCCACTCGAAAACCAAAGTGGCCGAAATCCACCGATCCTTCACTTACTTGTTGCTCATTTCTCCTGAACCCCTTGTCACCAGAACCAGTTCCTGACGGCACCCTGGGAGACCCATCACTGAGAGCCGCGGAAGAGGAAAGAAAACAGTCCTGCAAGGTCTTGGCGACCTGAACATGAAGAAAGAGAGAGAAGGTCAACTGATGTCAGAGCCATGCAAGCAAACCTCTGCTGCTGGACCTCCCCCAGAAATCCAAGGGGCTGACAACTTCCTGTGCTTGCTGCTGTTCTCTTATAAGTTACATGGTTCCCAGCTATCTGTGAGGTCGGCAGAATCCCTTCCCTCTATGGAATGCTGATGAGGAGAGGAGGGGGTGTTTTGAAGTCCGGGCCTAGGGTGGCAACACTGCTCCTCTATAGGTGGACCTTTGTCTTTATTCATCCTCACCTACTATGTTACTATGAGAAAGCACGGTGAGTGAGCGTTGTCACCCTAGGACAGGAAGTGTGTTACTAACAGGATCACCAGGTGAAAATAGAGGAGAAGAAATTAAAAAAAATAATGCAGCCACCACATTTCAGGACTGGAAGGTCTACAGGGGAGGGGGAAGAGGGGGGCAGACACATTTAAGGACTGGAAAAAAGGGGAGGAGGGGTGTAGACACATCTCTAAGGACTGGGAGGTTTGGGGGGGGGGGGGTGGACACCTCTCAGGACAGTTTTTTGGGTGTAGACACCTCTAAGGACTGGCCAAGGCCAAATAAAGAAAAAAGAAAACATAATAAAGAAGGTGAATGGGACAGGACAGGTCCTCTTAACTCACCCTCTTCTCCAAGCTGGACAGCAGCTGCAGAACGTCTGACACTTTATGGATGAGTTTGTCCACAGCAGAGATCTTATATGAAAAGATATTGTTAAAAAAAGATTATCAGTTTTATTTGTCCTTCTCAATGGACATTATTATGTAGTTGCCCCCATTGCAGCTAAACCATCCTCCACTCTTCTGGGAAGGCTTTTCGCAAGATTTTGGAGGGCGTCTGTGGGAATTTGTCCCATGTGTCACCAAACTGTGACCACAAGGCTGGAAGAACTAAATTGTCTACAGTGTCTACAAGGTACTGATGTTGGTTGAGAAGACCTGGCTCACAATTGGAGTTCCATTTCATCCCAAAGGTGTTCAGCAGGGTTGAGGCCAGGGGCCAGTGTGCAGGACACTCGAGTTCCTCCAAACCAAGCTGGTCACACCATGTCTTTATGGAGCTGGCTTTGTACACAGGGGACAGTCATGGTGGAACAGAAAAGGGTTTTCACCAAACTGTGACCACAAGGCTGGAAGAGCACAATTGTCTACAATGTAGGCTAATAAGTGGTAATGGAGATTGTATGGTGTCTGCTGGATTTCTTGTCCATAGGTCTGATGGCCATCACGTTCAAGAAGAACAGCCAACCCTTGTAAAACTTTATTATTCCAGGACAAACTTCTGGAAGCTCTGCCTGGAACCTCCTCTGACTCATCAAATACTGGATCATAGAGATGAGGAGGGCGGGATGGGGAGACATTTATACATCTACAATCACACGTGAAGATACTCATAGCGATACGTGTCTACACGTCTACAGACTATAAATACATTGACCCCCCAGGAGGGCCCCATACCTGCTCATTGTCTTGAACATGAACTATAGACATAAGACCGAAGAGCTGGACGAGGATCCTCAGGCTGCTCCACGTCGCTGTAATTTCCCTGAAATCAATAACAGGAAAAACCATCAATGAAAATGTTACGTCGTGACGACGACGACATCGAACTCGGAAAAATGGTTTCAATGACCAATCAGATATTAGTTTATTTCTGATTGGCCGCTATGCATTCCTGAACTCCGCCCACCGCCATTGTTCCATAAGCTTGTGTATGTATATACCGTATATAGAATGTCCGGCGGTGGAGCGGTGCAAGATTGGAACTATTAGATTTACCAAAATACAATACAATCTATGAGGACCACAACAGCTATGGTCAGCCAGAGAGGACGCCACTTCCTGTCCTGCTGACAATGGCTTCACCAAACAGGAAGTGAGGGGAAATCTTCAACACAGATCGAAATAAAATCTGACAAAAGTTCTAGCCTTCCTCTCTACTAAAAATAATTTTATCCATTGAGGGTTATTGTGGGAGATTACATTCATCACTGGGGGAGGGGAGACTGAGGAAATGCTTCCTCCTACCTGCAGCAGACTGATCACTGGGGGAGGGGAGACTGAGGAAATGCTTCCTCCTACCTGCAGCAGACTGATCACTGGGGGAGGGG